TTTAAGATTTTATTGATTTGACAGTGCACATGGGAGAGCACACAAGCAGAGGGAGTGGCAGAGGGAGAGGGAGAAGCAGTCTCCTGGGTGAGCAGGGAGCCTAATATGGCACTTGATTCTAGGACCCTGGGATCATGACCTGAGAGCCAAAGGCAGCTGCTTAACAAACTGAGCCATCCAGGTACCCCTGGAACTCTTATTTCTTTTTGTAGATCCAAGTTCCTATTTGTTACATTTTTGCCTGAAGAACTTCCATATAGCATTACCAGCCAACTGGCACTATAAAAAATAAAATCTTTTAGCTTTTGCTTTTCTCAAAGTCTTTATCTTGTCTTCATTTTTGAGAGACATTTTCAGTGCATACAGAATAGGTTTTTTTTTTTCTTTTAGTATTTTGGAGATGTCACTCTGTTGCCTTCTAATTTGCACAGTTTTTGAGATGTCTCAAAAACTTTGCACAGTTTTGAGATGTTATAATTTTTATCTTTATTCCTCTGTACATAATTTTCCCCCTCTTGCTGCCTTCACAATATTCTCTTCATTTTGATTTTCACCATTTTGACCTCTAATGAAAATAGGTGTGTGAATTTTTAATTTCTTCCGTTTGGCATTCTCTGAAATTCTGCATCTGTGATTTGATGTCTTGAATTATTTTCAGAAGAGTCTTGGCTGTTCTTCACATTTTTCTTCTCCATACTTTTTTTTTCCTCCTTTGGGACTCCCATTACATATATTGTTCCACAGTTTTTGAACGATCTTGTGTGTGTGTGTGTTTAAAGTTTGTACACATGTGTGTCAATTTGGATAATTTCTGTTGATCTAGCCTCAAATATCTGAGCTTTTCCCTGGTTGTGTCCAGTCTGCTGATGAATCTATCTAGGGAGTTCTTTATCTTTGATTATGTCCTTTAATTTTATTATTTACATTTCACTCTTACAGTTTCCACATCTCTGTTGAAATTACCCATATCTCTTTTTTTTTTTTTTTAAAAGATTTTATTTATTCATGAGAGACACACAGAGAGAGAGGCAGGCTCCATGCAGGAAACATGATGTGGGACTCAATCCTGGGACTCAGGATCATGCCTTGGGCCAAAGGCATGTGCTCAACCGCTGAGCCACCCAGGCGTCCTTGAAATTCCCTATCTCTTTATGCAAGTTACCACCTTTTCTACTTGGTCCTTGAACATATCAGTTAGTTATTTTAAAGTTCTAGTCTGATAGTTCTAACACCTTTCATTTGAATATTGTTGATAGTTTTATGTCTTGACAGTGGAGTTTCTTCCCTTGCATTTCTTACATGTCTTGCAATTTGACTGAGTGCCAGATAATATGTATAGAAGAATGGTCAAGATTGAGATAAATGGTATCGAGAGCAAGCCAGTGTGGTTGGTGGGGGCTGAGGAGAGAGGCAGAGGAAGAAGGGAGAGAGGGGATCTTAAGCAGGCTCCACACCCAGCGTGGATTTCATGACTCTGAGATCATGACCTGAGCCAGAATCAAGAGTCAAAGCTTAATCAGCCAAGCCACCCAGGCAACCCAAGGTAAATAATGTTTATACCTGTAGATGGACAAGTGTCTTTCTCCCCAGGCCACTTGTTTTGGGAGTTGAATCAATTTGTCAATAATTGAGTTGGATTTGGGTTTTGTTGTTGGTATCTTTACCTTCAGTATACCACAGACTTTACATTGCTGTAGCAATAGGCTTTTATTACCTGTGCTTGGAATGAGGTGCCTGGGTACTATAGAATTTTCTCAATTTTCCTGTTTTCTCTTTAGATTTTTGTTGTCTCTGCCTACCTTGCTACAATTGCGGATCTCTCCATGTTCCTGCCTGTCCTCTGCCAATAGGCTGTTCTCACTTGTTAGTCACTGCTGGGCTTGGGATAGGGCCTTTGAGTTTTCTCTGCTTTCTTTCCTTCCTCCTTTTCCTTTTCCTTTCCTTTTTAAAATAACTATGCCCAACTTGAGGCCCCTACTATGACTCCAAGATCAAGAGTCACATGCTCTACCCACTGAACGAACCAGGTGTCCCTCTGTTTTCTTGATTCAGCCTCAGTCATACTTAGGCCCTTGGACTTGAGGTATGGCCTTTCAGTGTTTCTTCCCGTGAGCCATACTAGGGTATCTGTAGTTTGTTTTAATGTAGGGTCCGGGTCCAAGGTACTTTCTGACAGTTTTCCCAGAGGTAAAGGGGGTTTGCTTTCTACTCTTCCTTCCCAGCCATCAGTAGATCTTTGCTTGGAGAGGGTTTTCATTTCCATTCTTCCCTCAGAATCATCTTTGCCAGAGTCCTGTCGGTGAGTTTTGCTGCTCCTGCCTCACAGTTAAAGTTGCTTTGTGAGATCTCTTGAAGGTGGTATGGCCTTATTTCCCACTACAACTGTCTATTACCTCCTTCCTGCTTATGAACTACAAGGGAAACGTTCTTTGTTCTCCTTTCTTATTCCCATTCTTTCTTGTGAACATGTGATAAAGGCTCATGGGGAAAGAGCTTTAAGAGTGAGTAGGAACTTCCCTTATGGTTGGGGCCCTTGCTACTTTAAACTGACACATCGGGGACGCCTGGGTGGCTCAGCGGTTGAGTCTCTGTATTTGGCTCAGGGAGTAATCCTGGGTTCTGGGGTCAAGTTCCACATCAGGCTCATTTTGGGGAACCTGTTTCTCCCTCTTCCTGTGTCTCTGCCTCTCTCTGTGTGTCTCATGAATAAATAAATAAAATCTTGAAAAAAAAAATAAACTGACACACCAGCCTATGCTTTATCTTACAAATTTTAGCTAGTTTCTTGGATGCTTGGATGGTGGCCACTTCTTTCTCCCATACTCTGCCAAAAGATGAGACAGTTTGTCTGCTTTCTCCTTGAATGGGCTTGTCCTTCTTAGGAATTTAATTTGTTGTGCTGCCTTGCAGCTTCATCTCTCTAATGTGCCTCAAAAATAGGATTTTTTTTGGTTTTGTTTTTTGGCTTTACCATTAAACGTTTTTTCATTGTTTGGGAGCCATCATTACTCTCTGTAGCTGTTTATATCCCAAGCAGAGGTGGAACTCCCATTCTTAAGTTTGAAATTGATGTTTGGTAATAAGATAGGCTTGAATTTATATTCGGTGGTCATTTTTAAAAGACTTTGGTAATCCTGATATTCCTCTACGAGGGGAAAGTTTTTCTCTCTTTTTTAAAGATTTTATTTATTCATGAGAGACACAGAGAGAGAGGCAGAGACATAGCAGAGGGAGAAGCAGACTCCCTATGGGAAGCCCGATGTGGGACTCAATCCCAGGATCCTGGTATCACAACCTGAGCTGAAGGTATGTGCTCAACCACTGAGCCACTCAGGTGTCCTGAGAGGAAAGTTTTCATATAGGCATTGTTGTTAGAGTTCTGGATTTTATGTTTAAAATATGCCCTAAATGCTCCCCTAAAATTGGCTAAATGCTTTTGGAGCCCCCTCTCTACCAAATACCTGACCATGTTGGCACAGAAATTATGGAATGGATTTTGGAACATTGTATTAAAAAGAAATGGCCTTTGGGTATTTTTTGTAAAAAATGTGACACAGTCCTTATTCAAGAGAAGATTTTCTGTTTCACAGATTCTTCAGGTCGCTGAGTGCATTTTCTTGCCATCCAAGATAGTTATTCTTTCTTGCTGCATCGACGAAGCTAGATGTTCTTGCTAGCCCTCTAGCCACTGTTTTATTTATTTTTTTTTTTAAGATTTTATTTATTTATTCATGAGAGATACACAGAGAGGCAAGAGACATAGGCAGAGGGAGAAGCAGGCTTCATGCAGGGAGCCTGACGTGGGACTCGATCCCGGGGCTCCAGGATCACACCCTGGGCTGTAGACAGCGCTAAACTGCTATGCCACCAGGGCTACCCTGTTTTATGTTTTTTCTTACAAATTGAAGTAAGAACCTAATTAGCTTCTATACATTCTTGTAATGGAACAGTGGAATTGTTTTTGCTTAAACATTTTTTTGACTCATTAGAAAAATGATAATACTTGTGCATTATAGCTTATTTGAACATTGCAGGAAAGAAAAAAATTATCTCCTATAATTCAGGTAGAATAACTTAGCATTTTGCAATTCTGGGTAATTCTAAGAATGAGTGAATGGGGGTTGCCTGATTGGCTCAGTTGGTAGAACATGCAGCTCTTGATTTCAGGGTCATGGTTCTAGCTGCATGTTGGGCATGGAGCCTACTTTTAAAAAAAAATGAATGAATGAATGAATACCACAGGTAAAGTCATAGTCACGGGGCAGCCCGGGTGGCTCAGCAGTTTAGCGCTGCCTTCAGCCCAGGCCGTGATCCTGGAGACCCAGGATCGAGTCCCACATCAGGCTCCCTGCATGGAGCCTGCTTCTCCCTCTGCCTGTGTCTCTGCGCCTCTCTCTCTCTCAGTCTCTCATGAATAAATAAAATCTTAAAAAAAAAAAGTCATAGTCATGATGTAATATACAATTTTATATTTCGTATTTAATATTTAACATTAATCATAGGCACATCTTCCTATGATTAGATCTTCCTAAAAGGTCTTAATAAACGTTTAAAATGGGATACATAGGGATCCCTGGGTGGTGCAGCGGTTTGACGCCTGCCTTTGGCCCAGGGCGCGGTCCTGGAGACCTGGGATCAAATCCCACGTCGGGCTCCCGGTGCATGGAGCCTGCTTCTCCCTCTGCCTGTGTCTCTGCCTCTCTCTCTCTCTCTCTCTCTCTCTCTCTCTCTGTGACTATCATAAATAAATAAAAATTAAAAAAAATTAAAAAAAATAAAAAATAAAATGGGATACATCATTTGGAGTTTTATAAAGTTTACTAGAAGCTGTCTTTCCCAGTAGTTACTTTGCAGCACTAATTTAAAAATTGGAAAGGTTTACATTTGAAGCTTGGAATTGTATTCTAGTGCACAGAGGTATTTAGGCTTCTGATTCTGTTTTTAAGAGTAGATTTTGTCTCTTGGATTCCAATGACCCTGTGGCTTTTCTTTAATTTCAGAATTCCATACGACATAATTTGTCACTGAACAAGTGTTTCCTTAAAGTGCCTCGATCAAAGGATGATCCCGGAAAGGTAGGATTCATTATCTTAAGATAAAATAATTGGATTCTTCATTATTTATCTGTTGTCATGTTTGTATCTGAGTAATAATCTGTTACACATAGAGAAAGAGAATTGGAATGAGAGCACTGAAGAACCTGTCTAATTCATTGGTCAGGAACCTTCCTGATGCTCCTTCACTTTACCCTACTTCATCCCCATTTAGTTCGTAATCTTCAAGGACCAACCAGGCAGAGAGAGCTTTCTCTTTAAGCAGTGGGAAGTAACTTCTAGTGTAGAGCTGGTCCTCTGTAATAGGTTGCTGCTTCTAATCTAGTTTTGTTTATTTTAAGTAGTGTCTATTTGGTTTTTGAATTGCTTGTCAGGAACCACAATTCATTATTTTTTGCTTATAAGAGGTATATTTGGTAGATCTTGACAGAAGTGCCAATAATTCTTACCCTGAAATAAAATTCTCTGTTTCCCTAATTTCTTAGTTGATGTTTTTTTCCTTTTCATTCTATTTATCTCCTGCCACCATTATACTTCTAGTATTTTATCTACAGGGACTTCCCTTCTTTTTGGTTTTAATAGCCATATCAACTGCAGTGTGACCTGAACTTGGTACTAGTTACTTGGTTTCTAAAGCTCAGAGTACTTTCTTGGGCCATAATTTGGTTGTCAGGATGCATTATTAGATGATTTTGAGACAGTGTATTTATCTATTGGTAAATGCACTATTGTTTGGCTGGTTAAAAAGTCTAACCAGCCAAACAGTCTTTTTAAGTTAACTATCCCTGGAAGAGTCTTTCTAAAATGTAAACCTGGCTATGTTACCACCCCTACTTAAAAGTACTGCCCGGTCAGTGTCTTGGAGATGTTTCCTTGTGTTATTAAATACCCTTTATGCTTTTCCTTGATCTACCTTTCTAGCTATGATTCATATTCAAACTGACTGTGAGGAACTGCTTGAAGTTTCCCAAACATGCTTTTCGTATGATTATCTCCTACGACACAAACTCCCTATCTCTACTTGTGTGGCCTACTCTTTGGGTCTTTTAAGGTTGATGAGCTACAGCATTTCTTCTCTGAAGCTTTTTTGTTTCTGTATACTTCATCTGAGTCTGTGATTCCCTCTTGATTTTCTGTTACTTGGTCATCACTGTAGTAGCTCCTAACCAGTCAGTCTATCCTTGGGTTTACTACTTCTTTATAGTAACTTTTACATAGTAGCCAATGCTATCTTTCAAAAATGTTATCCTGTTATATTTTCTTTGTTTAATTTTTATTTTCTTTATTTAAAATCTTCATGGATTATCTGCTGTCCTTAGGTTGAAGTCTAAACTTTAAGAGGGTAGGGATCGTGTGTGTGTGTGTGTGTGTGTGGATACACACACACACACACACACACATACTTTTTAGCTCCACTTGCTTGCACAGTGGCTGGTGTCACGGATGAGACACTCTTGTTGAATGAATGAATGAATGATATCCTCTGCTAGATAGATAACTTCTAGAGGTTAGAGATAAAAAGTTAATCATTTCTACTATAAAGAATGTACTCTTAATGTGTATTTTATAGTACCTTCTGTGATGTGCCCCATCAAGTTGGTTCTCAGTAAGATCGAATAGATTATTATTATAGTCTTATTTGACTCCGTTATTTGCTGTGTTTATAATTCTCTAAGGTTGTGTTTCTTTTCTTTAAAGCAGGCTTATTATAAAAAAAGAAATGTTATATTTGCTTCATTACAATTTCTGATGGGCAGTGAGTATATATGAATCTGACTGAAAATGTTCCTACAAGAGTTTAGAGATTATTTTAGTAGAGTTCTTTGAGAGCACTGATTTAATACTATAAATAGTTGGTTCAGATATAATTTTTACATGACGTTTAAATCATTAAAAAAGCCCAATACACCTGATTGCTTTACTATGTTATGTACTAAGTCTTAACCAATTGGCGATCTATTTAAAAAGAACTTGTGCTGTCAGATTTTCTTTTGTGCAGAACCTAAAACTTTCTCCACCTTTAATTAAATAGTATCATGGGATAAGGCGTATGTGGAAAACATGTTTTCTCAGAATCCTGAGAATTTAACAAATTTCAACCTTTCCCATTAGTTTCCAGTTTTAAAGTCTTGTTTTAATCAAAGCACGTCATTGCTATAATTAATTTTGGTCATAGCAGTGAATATCATACATTTAATCTTATAAAGTACATTATATTAATAAAGACATTTTTATTTTCAGTCTCAAGGTGAGATTTAAATATCCATTGTTCTTTCTTTGATCAGAAGTACATGTCAATTGGATCTTAATAAAATGCGTTTATAGGAATAAAGTCATTTTAATTTTTGGTACCAAAATACGATTTTTTATTTTAAAATACTATTGCCTAAAAAACATTTTTGAAAAACCTCAGATCTAACCCATTTCATAGAAAAGGAAACTAAGGCTAAGGCTAATATATGAGGAATGACTTGTCCAGATTCAGTGTGGAATTAGAACTCAAGTGTATTGGCCAGACTTACCTGTAGTCACAGAAACCCATTACAGACCAACTAAGGGAGAAAATTTATATAGGAGGAACTGGAGCCTGGTTCTTAAATTGTGTCACTTTAGTCTACTAAAGTCCCTTAGTTCTACCGGCTTCTCCCATGGCTGCTTTTATCAGCCCAGTTAATGGCAATGATGACCATCCGCAGCTTCTGATTTACATTCCACTAGTTTACTAACCTTTAGCAGGTGGGAGTTTTGGTGTCCTCCCCTACCTGGAATGTAACAAACATCTTAGAATGAAGGCTGCACAAGCAGAATACCCTTGGTTTCCTTGGTTCCTAGACTAAAGCTTTTTCTACTACACCAATCTTCCTTAAGAGGGAGGCCAAAATGCTAGTTAAGTTTTGGTACTTATGAATTGTTTTTTCTTTTTGTATTACAGTGTTGCCTGGCATTTGAGGAGCTTTTCCAAAACCACCCTCACCACAGTGGGAGAAACCATTGAGCCAAGGTGGGGTGGGAGTAGTTTTTGATCTTGGGTATGGGGTGGACTTTAACCCCTTAGGATTTTACTAGTAGCTGCCATGACTCATAAGGGTCCAAGAGGTAGAGGTAGAAGTAGCACATCCAGTATCTTCTTCTTGTATTTTTATCTGTATAGCTTCCTGTTCAGTGTATCACCAGAGAAATATGAAGGCCAGCCTAAACCTAGAAGAGTATTGTTGAATTACAGATGTTTTTATATGGCTATTTATTCCTGACTCAATCCTTCATTTTCTAGAAGTCTTTGCCGTGAAATCCCTTAATATTTGAATCTCTCCCATATACATTAATGGGCTGAAATCAGTCTTCTTATGTTCCCTGAAACTAATTTCAAATAGCCACAATATTGCTTTCTTTAAAAAAGAAACACAAAATGAAATTATGTTTTGCACCAGTAACTCTGCTGCCTGTTTTAAGACAGATGTCTATTTTTTTTATCTTCATTACAATCCTGTTTCTGCATCTTATAGTCCATCTCCATTTTAAATTATTTTTATCTTTTTTATTTTTATTAGTTTTATTTTGTTTGTTTTATGATCTAATTGTCTTTAAAGTCTTCTTATCCTGCCTTTTACTTACACATGCCTCTTAATTATCTTAAAGGAAGGTAAATGTTTTCACATTATGGGAAAACAAATCCTATCTCTTTCTTTGCTTTCTGCCTTCATCTTTTCTCAACCTTTTTTCCTCTTCTCCAGCTCAGAAAAATGAATCTTTGATTTTAAAGGAAATAAAAGATTACAGGAAGTGGTTTCAACAGTTGTATAGTTAGTGGCAATGAGTTCTAATAGAACTGAGGTAGTAGGGATCCCTGGGTGGCGCAGCGGTTTAGCGCCTGCCTTTGGCCCAGGGCGCGATCCTGGAGACTCGGGATCGAATCCCATGTCGGGCTCCCGGCATGGAGCCTGCTTCTCCCTCTGCCTGTGTCTCTGCCTCTCTCTCTCTCTGTGACTATCATAAATAAATAAAAATTAAAAAAAAAAAACACAAAAAACTGAGGTAGTAGCTAAGAAGACACTATGAGGGCCACCTGCCTGTTCTGAGAGAGACTAACTTTAGTGGATTCATGCTAAGAAGAGCTTTTAAGGGCAGGGTGGGGCATGCTTTTCTTGCCTGGAAATAGGAATGTCATAAAGGCTTGGTGGCTGTGAAAATCAGAGTGGTTTGTGAGGAAACAACTGCTAGAGAACTTTCTGAAATTCTGAGACTAATTTTTTTCTATTCTTGTCCACTGTCATAGTATGGGGACCATAGCATAGTTGACTGATCTCTTTTTTACAAAGAGTTTTCTTTTTTGGCCATGTTAGTATTGTGTTGCATTTATTTATAAATTATTTCTTATTCATAAGTATCCTATTTTGGTCACTTGATTTGTTAAAAGATGTAGAAGAACTAGAGAGGTTTGAAAGTATGTAAGATATAACATTAAGTGATTAACAGTGTTGTAGAAATCACAGGTATGTGGTATTTACTCTGAGGAAAGAAGATAAGAGTGTAATTTTAATACTAGTCTTAAAGTAGATGCATGATTTTTGTGAAGAATTTGACTTCTTTGTATAAAACCAAATAGGAAGTGGGATTTAACGATAAAAGCAAGAGTTTGGTTAGACAAAAATAAGGACATGTTATTTATTTGATTGAAAAAACACTGGTAGGGTTCCCAGGGATATTTTAGAGTTTGCCACTTCTGAAGCACTTTAGGGATAGATCAGATTAATAACCTTTGTGGCTTTAATTCCTGGTAGGTAAGAGCCCCACTCGAAGGCTGAGAAGAGGACATGATCAAATTGAGCTAAGGGACCAGTGAGAATAAAGTTGAGATAGAATCAGGAATTAAGGGAATTAATGTAAGTACAGTAGTCTGCCCTTATCTGCAGAGGATACATTGCAAGAACCCCAGTGGATGCCCAAAACCTTGGAAAGTACCAAACCCTACGCATGTCTTTTTCCTATACATATGTACCTATGATAAAATTTAATTCAGAAGT